TACCATCACACCATTAAAGTACCAAACATACCATCACAACCATTTAAAGTACCAATACCATACACAACAATTAAAGTACCAAACATACCATACACAACTAATTTAAAGCACCAAACCCATTTAAAGTACCAAACATACCATCACAGCCATTTAAAAGTACCAAACATACCATCACAACCATTTAAAGTACCACACATACTGTCACAACCATTTAAAAGTACCAAACATACCATCACAACCATTCAAAAGTACCAAAACATACCATCACAACCATTTAAAAGTACCAAAACATACCATCACAACCATCAAGGCACGGAATTCATCCATCCACGTGTTGAAATGAGACATCTGGTGCTCACGCAAATCCTCGATGAGCTTTCGCCAATTCTCTTTATCCACTTCGTCCATGGTGTGGCGGTGCTGCGCTTGTTCTATAAATAGCACAGGCCAAGAGTAGGTGAACGTCAGGAATATCGGAGAAAGTGAACGCGTTGCTGTGGTCTACACATAGCATAAAAATATATGGACTCTACATACACAAAATCTGTATATAGACTGTGCATACATAGAATCTGTATACAGACTCGACATACATACCTATTCAGCCATAACAATGAACAGATGGCTACGCGGCTAAACTAATACACATACACACACATAGATACGATATAACCCCTCTGGCCAATGCATGCGTACACCCAAACACACCCGCTTCATGTCGCTCCTCATCCATGACCTTCCAGATGGTCTTCTCATAGATCTTGACGAAATCATTGCGATTGGTCTCCTCTAACATCACCAACTTTCCAGCGTTTTTGCTCAGAAAATTTGTGTTGTAGGTAGTCAGCAACCGGGAGAGGAACCGTTTGGGCACCTCGGGATTCTGCCGTGTATGGAGTGTGTACTTATTTGTTAGTCTGGGTTCATGAATATATATGTACAGATGATATTATCGTGCGTATACATATATATATATATATAAAATATATTATATATAAAAATATATACATATATATATAAATATATATGTATATATTAAACATATACACACACACACACATATATATATATATATATATAAATATATAAATAGATATATATACATATAATACACGTCTATATATATGTATAAATATATATTGTATATATATATATACATGTATATATATATAAATAGATAGATATATATACATACATTATATATATATATAATTTACAAAATTTTTAAATTTATATAGATATAGATATAGATATAGATATATATCAATAAAAATAAATAAATAAAATATAATGGATGTATATCACACGACATAATTTGTACACATACCTCGTAATCGAAATACGATATATCGTCCATTTCGCTCTCCTCCATGTCATGCGTCAGTGCCGTGGCCTTGTCCATACATAGATCTCTGTGGAATTCGTATAATCAGCATATGCAATCAGTGCACCGGAATGTATGCGGTTTATTGTAAACTCGTTTTTCTAAACGTTGAGCAAATCTCATGTACTTGCTTTCACGGGACATGGCACAGACAGTTAGGTATGCACATCACAGCGGATATATTCGTGGAACTTGACACTTGACACGGGTAGATAAATGGGTGAGTCGATCCCAATAGCACTGCGATACGACAATACTACGAATTGGCATGTTCCTGATTCAAAAATAGATTATATGGGTGTGTCGGTCCAAATAGTACTAGAGCACTACGAATTGGCATGATTCTGATTTAAAGAATCGATCACAGTACGTGCATCGAAATACGGGTCAACTTTTTGAGTTCGCCTTGGGCACGGGTTCTCAAACTATAAACGTAAATGACAATGAAAACGTATCGCTCGGCAGATATCGAGATACGTCTATACAGTCTGATCCTTGCAGCAGGGATAGCCATCTGCGCTCTCGCGTGTACGTATATATTGATCGATACACGTAGATACATAAATACACATGCATATATGGACACGTATATATCCGTACAATATTCAATGCTTGCAATCAGCGAAAGTATTAGTGTTCGAAGCCATGCTTTAGTATATAGTGATACTTCGTAGCACCTAAGACATACTTAGACATACTTAAGTATGTAGATATACTTGGTTGTATCTAAAACATACTAAAACATACTATAATATGTACATATACTTGGTTTTTAGGGTATTAAGGGTTTTAGAAACATGTAAAAAAAAAAAAAAAAACGTACTAAAACATACCTTAGTATGTCCGTATACTTGGTTGTGTCTGAAAATACTAAAACATACTATAGTACGTATAAAAACTTGATTGTATCGAAAATATACTAAAACATACTATAGTACGTACATAAACTTGGTGGTATCGAAAACATACTAAAACATACTTTAGGATGTCAATATCGGCAAAGTTGAGGCGGATACCGATGGCATGTATGGTTGATCTCCGGTTCGAGTACTCGTTCTGAAACGACTGTGACATGAGGGCAAAACAATAGCATAGACGTGAGTGCCGTTTACTATCACTCTGTACTAACACACACTACGGAAACACAGAGCATATAAGTGAAGAGGATTTAGTCTCTGGCGGGCCTGGGCACTCGGTTATGGATACTGAAAAAGAGACAGTCACCCCAACCGTAGAGTATATGCGTTAGCAAAGTAGCATACATGCACTTGGTGGCAAAGTGTGAAAACGTATATACGCTTATCAGCTGTATAGGGCGGGATCGTCCGGAGTTTGACCAACAACAAAACGGTATGCATCCATATGGGTGTTTCATGACATATCCCCCTTTTTATATTGAAATGGGTGTGCATTATACGTTGCAACTGTCAGTCATGCTGTACGTAAAAACATTCTTGCAATTTGTGAGTGAGAAGCAAAGCGGGTCGTAGGTTCACGATTGTAAGTGCTAGGAGCAATAAACATGCACAATAACAGGTTTATGGCTTCAACAGTGTGCGTGCACGCAGAGATTTGTTTACAATAATAGGAAACGGTACGTAGCAATGCGTGACATGAAAGTGCACTACTAAAATCATGCTACATAATGTTTTTTATCGGATGTTTCAAACACATGCCTGTATATATATAGGGTTTTAGGGTTAGGGTATAGGGTTGTTTATACATACACCAAACACGTGAAACGACAGCTACCTCGTCAATCTGTTTCTGAATGGCCAATTCAGGACAACACACGCACGCAGCGACCAGATTCTGATACAGTGCCATATCCTCCTCGGTACCATTGAACACTTGGGACATCTCTCGCAATCGCATAGACAACCCTACATTGTCACCCTGGAGAGAGCCCGCCACGTGTAGGTAGAAAGAGATTTGATAAGCAGCAGCATATATATATATATATATATACACATATACATGTGTTATTGATGTAAGGGGGGGTGTCTGCGTTGAAGGGTCGCTGTGTGATTGCATAGACTACTGTGCTATTAAATATGCGTGTCAGTGGAAGTGATCTGTTGAGCGTGCGCTCGACGTCAATAGAAATGACACGTTTGGTGACGTGAACTTGCCGATACGTGCGATATACAGCTGTCAGATAAGACACTGATATTAGTCGCAGTAGACTGTTCCAAACTTCCATGGGAGAGACATTAGCGGACTCTCCTACAGATTCAATCTTAATATTCACAGTAATCGGTGCCTGTGTTCCTAAGTTTAAAAGGCGTTACATAAGATGTGCAAAACAGAGGACAGGAAGCTATAGTTGTCCTATGTAGTATGTATATAGCCCAGCAGCAACCATAAAACAGGTGCATGTGTCCTGATGTGTGAACGAGGTTTACATACCTTTTCCACGATGGAGAACCGCACGCGTTCGGGGTTGATGTACGCGTTTTTGCGTTTAATCTCTGCGGTGACCTCCACCAGAATCTCGTTAGGATCCAGTCGCTTGTCTGTCAGTGTGAAACGGTCAACGTTAATAGGGACGCGTTACATCAGGTGCATCATATAAAGGTGACGAATGTATGCGTGTCTGTGAGTGTTTGCGACACTTTGAGAATTTGCCAAATTTCAGTCAATGCAGAATTACTAATCCAGAACTAATAATTCAGAACCAAAAAAATAAATAAAATTAACAATGCAGAACTAATAGCGCAGAACAGACAATACAGAACCAAAAAATTCAAAACAAATAATGCAGAACTAATAGCGCAGAACAGACAATACAGAACTAATAATGCAGAACCAAAAAATTCAAAACAAATAATGCAGAACTTATAGCGCAGAACAGACAATGCAGAACTAATTCAGAAACAATAATACAGAACTAATAATGCAGGACTGGCAATGCCAATGCAGTACATCATATATTATATGAATTAATATATTCTGATTTTTATTAATATCCGCGCACTTACCGTTCTTTCCCGGGGCCGACACTTCGATTGCCAATGGGATCACTTTGTCGTCAGGCAGATCGTTTTGCCGGTTGTACTTGACTCTGCAATCGATGATACGAATGAGTGTGAGCAGGTGTTTTAAACTGTATGGCTAGAGAGTTTCGGCCACCAAATTGGTACGACACTTATAAAGTACGAATACAGGGCACTTACACCTATGCGTTCGACAGCAGACGGGCATGTCCTAAGTATGTGTGTAGTGTACGAGTATGAATCAATGTGTTGCGTAAGTGAACTAAATATTGATGCACACACACATTGGTAACACTAGTCGTGCAGATCCGCAAGCGCTTGCATGAATGAACTAATATAATTATAAGTATAATTATAATTTATATATATATATACATTTATATATATATATGTATGTATGTATGTAGGTATGTATGTTTGTATGTATATATATATGTATATAAATATATATATATATATATATATAAATATATATAAATATAAATATATATAAATACATATGCAGGTACGCACGTATGTCTGGGTAGTCTACATACATACAGAAAAGCCTAGTACACTCATGCATACCTTGCCTTTTCAACCATCTCTAGCGCTGTGATGTCACGAGGCACTGAGAACAACGCGCGATTGACCTTGCTTACTGTAATGGTAAATACCGGCAGTTATTAATAGAACAAATCATGAGCCTGGCAATAATATAGTAGGTATTGTATAGACTTGGATATCTTGCAATCATAAAGATCCGCAAGAGAAAGACAGACGCATCAGTTTCCAGTACAAATTTTCGATGCCGGTTAAGTGCAAGAGGAACAAACTCTCGGAAAGATACAGAGTTTGGACGCTCCTAAATTATTATCCGACATGTACAGTACAGACATACTTCTAATCGGAGTACGGTCAGATACGATGCTCAGAGACAATACGACTTTGTTTGTGAGACAATACGACTTTTTTGTGAGAGATAATACGACTATTTGTGAGACAACACGACTTTTTTGTGAGAGATAATACGACTGTTTGTGAGACAATACGACTTTGTTTGTGAGATAATACGACTTTGATTGTGGGACTATACGACATTGATGTGGGTGGCCACCTCAAGCAGACCTGCATATGTTACCCAACAACACAACCCAGGTCATCAGATTGAACATGACAGAGGTATATTGTAATGCGTAGACATACACAAACGGCAGGGTGAGGTGGACAACCCAACCAAGTGTTTACAAGACATGTAAAGGAGAGGTTTGTTGTTTAGCTTGCTGTCTACCTGTACTCGGATAGGTTATCGCTGGGTGTTCCGTGTACAAGGAAAGTGAACAGTAGTGTTACCACGATCAACAGAACTGTGCTACATTGAAACACAAGTGGGGTATGGATAATTCAATCCGGCACATACAAGACATGTCAAGAAATCTACAGCGATCATCTGTACCTGCTCACAACCACAAGTATCTCCATACCAATTTGCATTAGTAGCTGTATATGCTAAGGTGTGTGTGTGCGTGTGTATATGCACGTACGGATTGATTTACTAGGCATATGAATCCTTGCGCGCACAATGTGGTAAATCATTGCATGCATAGCGATGGTGCCCACGTGTCCTTCATTAACTAATACATCGCGCCGCACATTCACCTTATATAAGCAGCAAACGTATAAATGCCACGTGTATGTTTGCATCCACATGTATATGCATATGTATCCGAGCAACCTGTGCTTGAATAAATGCAACGTAATATGTTTACGCTTATACGCACATGCTTCAGCAGAGCCTATAGTGTATAGGCGATGCCAGAAACCTCTACTATGCCGATATGAACAATGCACAACTATAAATTCACATAAACATTAATATATATATATATATACGCACATATACATATACATACACACACATATATATATAATGAATCGACTTCAGCAGAACTTACAGTGAATTGAAATCATGACTTCGGCTTTCTCGGCCTGTAGTGCAAGTATAATTGTGTCTCTACTGTACAGCCCGGGGTGTTCCTCGTTCATCTGCAGGTGCAGATCGGCAAACCAACCCGAAATAAACAATTTGAGACTTTTAGGTTCAGAAGCAACAATCCCAAAATGAAACCTTTGTTCTTTTTGGGTTCAAAGATCCGATGCCTGAGTACATATCTACCATTTCCCCTTACGGTATCCTTCCTTTCCCCATGACTCGAAAGAATCAAGTATGTGGGTTGGTTGATAGGAGTCCTGGGTAGGTGAACAGCCACCTGCCCGGTCACACTTAACAGAGACTCCAGGCTACACGCGTGGGGCAATGAACAAGGTACGATCGGTGCAACCATCTGATATCCTACCATACCATTTAGCCGCACTCACTAAGTGTCAGAATGTGCAGTATAGCCTCGTACAGTTCTACGCGCGGAAAGAGATAAGTGATTGCAGAGGAATGAACCAGCCACTCTCAGCACTCAGCAGCCGTAGATATGGCGCTCATACTGTGCCGACTGCAGCCGCAACTAATCTATCTGTCGATATAGTCACATAACACCCAAATGTGTCGGTACATACATCTACAATACAATTTTGTTGACCTGGCCATCTATTTATAGATATAGCCACATAACACCCAAATGTGGCCGTACATACATCTACCATGCAACTTTGTTGATCTGGCCATCTATTTATAGATATAGCTACATAACACCCAAATGTGTCGGTACATACATCTACCATGCAATTTTGTTGATCAGGTAATCTATTTATAGGTATAGCCACATAACACCCAAATGTGGCCGTATATACATCTACCATGCAATTTTGTTGATCAGGTAATCTATTTATAGATACAGCCACATAACACCCAAATGTGGCCGTACATACATCTACAATACTATTTTTTGGCAGATATGGCACTCTATTTATAGGTATAGCCACATGAGACCAAATATTACCAATACACACATGCACCCCCCCTCACACCCAGCATCCTGCCCTACCATTTTGTAGATCTTGCTTAGCGCCAGCAAGGGCAATTCATCATCGAACAGTTTGCGGGGGGGTTTGGTGGGTGCCTTGAGTATGATGAACAAGTTGCCGTCCACAGTCTTGGATGGTGTACTGGCACTGTGCCGCTCTCGCGCCTGTGCACACAACTCCACACTGCATGATAGTGGTGGAGGGGAAGACAAGTGTGTGTGATCTGATCGGTCACTATTTTTAGAGGAGGAGCCAGTGTGTGATCGTAAGCTACACCCCTAACTCTAGACCACAAACCCAAACCCTGGATACGGAACCTTAAACCCTGGACACGACATACGTCTGAATGTCACTCGGCACTTTGAACACCTCCACACTCTCGTCCGGCATTGTGACACGCACTTCTGTCTCAGTGGGTGCGACCGCCTTTACCTTTACACGCGTGAAGAGTAGGAGAAAACGACGATAAATGAAACACATATTTTCGTAGTAAAAGTATAGAGGACCCGTTGGTATATATATATATATATATATACATACATATACATATATATATATATATATGTATGTATATATACATATACATACATACATACATACATATATATGCGTGTGTGTGTATGCAGAAACGAGCAGAGTCTGATAAAGTAGCCACGTACACTAGTACGTGGACTGTAGTAGTCTGCAGCATCTCCGGTTCTGAATAGATACATGCAGGTCATTCGAGATAAGGGAGATTCACATGTACACCGAAGCATGTATACGATCACGATCGTGCATGTTTATAGGATTATGTAGAAGTACAAGAACGTGTAAGCATAGATAACCTGTAGTAACGTCAGCCAACTCATTTACCTCATGCTGCTTGGCTTTCTGGGCGGCCGAAGCGGCTAGGGCAGCACTCATTCCCAGACCCAGAATGTCCTGCGGGGCAAGAGTAGCCATAGACCTGTGCATAGGTAGAAAGGACACGTTTTATGGAGACATATACTTCGTTAACGAAATCAGCTACTTGAGTTATATTGCTACGAATGGGCAATCCACAAGGCGGTGTAGCTGTATTTCCGATGTCATATATATATATATATATTACTTTATACATATATACTTAAAGGTATACATCCATATATATATATATATATAATATAATATATATATATATATAAACGTATATATATATATATGTATAAATATATATAC